CAGGAGATTGAAACTGAGCCAAAATGAACCTTTTCTCCTTTAAGTAATTTTCTCCCAAGTATTTGTCATAGCAATGAACAAACGGAGCAGTTCTCATGTGAAGGAACTGCACAAGCAGATGTTCTAGAGAGGCGCTCAGTGGGTGCTCAGGGCAGGAAAGAAGCCAGGTACGGCTGCAGACAGCTGTGAGCACCCATCAGCCTTCCGTACACTCATAGGGCTAGGCAGCAGGTGGCAGGAATTTCATTCATTCAGCGATCCTGTTCACTCCCCCAGGGAGCAGCCAGTAAGAGGAACAGAAGTGTGTAAGGAAAAAAAAAAAGTAAGGTCCAGAGCAGAAAGGTATAGTACCACAGAGCAGGGACTGTCATTTTCAGGCAATAGCACCTAATATATATCAAATGATAGTGTTACCCATCGAGACAGTGTCCTCAGTCCTGTTATTACACATAAACATGCACACATACGTGCTCACACACAAGTAAGTGTAATTTAAGAATTTTAAATAAGAAAAATTCCATGTAATTTAAATAGTGAAGAATCATTAGTTCCTGCTAAGACTAACAACAGTAAAAACCACTAGCTCATGATCTGAGAGAGGAAGATGCACCACCATGTGAATGAGTGGGTACCATGAGGAAGAGGGATTCATAGCAAAAGGATGATGGGGTTCTCAAGGCGAACCAGCATGCTGTTGTGCAGTGGGCCCCTTCATCCCACAATCTGTTCTTTGAGAGTGGATTGTGGATGACAGCTCCTACCTCTTCTGGTCTTTGTCATATGAGACTGTCCTATACACTGTAGGAAGTCTATATCCTGAACCTGCTCAGTGACAGGTTAAATATAATATGGCTAAGTAGTGTATGTAAATAATATAGACGTAACCATTTCATACAAGTAACACTTTATAATTATGTAATTGCTCACCCAGAACGTTTCCCAGACACTTCACAGAGTACATATCACTGTTCCCAATTGAGAGCCCTATAAATCCATGCTGCATCTGCAGGAAGGCTGAGGTGCAGTTTGAATGTAAGGGGAACTGTGCACACTGAGTGGAGGTAAGCATAGTTTTGGAAGATTCACTGTTGTCCCACACAGGACATCAGGAGGAGATCACTGGGACCTCGAAGGGCACAGCAGCGGCATGACGAAGAAGAAGGGCATGTAGTTGCTGCACAACACATTTGAAATCCAGTCAGAGACTGGACGGCCTGGAGGCAGCACTCAGAGCTGATAAGCTGAATACACTCAGGCCATCTATCTTTGGTCCTTTGTAAGAGGAGGGCTTGTTTCTTTGAAGATGAGATGCAGTGTGCTTGCTATTTGCATGAAAAACACAGAAGATGGGCCAGTTTTTAGGCTTTTGTAGACATCTTGTAGTAACCAGGCTTAGAGCTAGCTGGTAGTTAAGAGCACTGACGGCTCTTCCAGAGGTCTCGGGTTCAGTTCCCAGAAGCCACCTACCATCTGTAGCTCCAGATCCAGGCGATCCAATGCCCTTTTTGGGTCTCATCAGGCACCAAGCACACACAAGTATGGAACCAATACATGCAAACAAAACACCATACACATGACTAAAAACAAAATGAAATGCACATGACGTCATTGAAGCCTGTATGTCTGGGTGTACTGTCTAGTAGCTGAGAGGGCATTCCACGCTCTTGGAAAGGAATGTGAAACCTCAGTGGGAGGTTTCAGGAATTTCCCCAGTTCTCCTGGGACTCTCCTTGCTCTGCCATCCTTCCCATCAATGCTCTCTGCATCTTCCTGCCTTCCCTGTGAGGAACCAGATTATCTGTAGGGGAAAACATCAGGGATCACCCTTGTGGGCAGCACCATTTATAGGACATTTACTTGCTAATATCTGGGCTTTTGTTTAGTTGGTCCTTTAAAGTAGGAAGTGTTAGTAGTTCCCTTTAGAGATATGCTTTAAAACTTTCTGTCACAGTGTCAACCTCAGTGCCGCAAATACAACACGAAGAACTTTTGTCATGAATTACTCATGTTGGAAGAGTGGTTGGTTTAATTTTTATTGTTGTTGTTTTGATTTTTCTAAGACAGGGTTTCTTATATTCTTGGCTGACCTTGAACTCACTATGAGCTAAGGAGGACCTTGGATTTCTGGTCTTCCCGACTCTACCTCTAAATGCTGGGATTACAGGGGTGTAACACCAGACCAGGGTAGTGGAGAAAAGAACCCAGGCTTTGTGCATGGTAGGCAAGCACTCCACCAACTGAGCACATTGCTAGTGAGAGACCAAATAATTGAAAATTGGTTTTTTGGGGTATTAGTTTGGGGCTTGGAGCACAGGCCTGAGTGAAGGCCAGCCAGGTGGAGACATGTCCAGCCACCTGGGGAAAGGAACTAGCTTTACTGCATTCTTTTCCTGCCCACTAGAGATACAGTTGCTAGGAAACCAGCCCAGATGGTCAGGCCAGAACCCTTTATGGTCTTGGCATCTAAAATAAACCAATCATTTCAAAAGTCAGTTTCCTTTACCCAATCATGTAACATCAAAGCACATAACTCCCTGCTTATGATTTTTCCCTTTAAAAACCTTGTCTCCCTAGACTGTGGGGCCGCACTCCTCCTCTTCAACCAGGGAGGTTCAACCAGGTTCAACCGGGCTCGAGCTTGTAATAAAAGATCCTCATGTATTTGCAGTGGAGTCAATTCCTGGTGGTCTTTGGGGGTCTCATGAACTGGGCATAACATTAGCCCTCATGAATGCTTTGCGAGTGAAGTCTGACCTGATTTCTATCACTCCAATTTACCTTAAGACACTCTTACATGATAAAACCAAGTGTCATCATAAAGAACTTGGCAGTCATGTGTTCCAACCATCTAACTCACAGCCCTCATTCACAGCACTCCAGCTGTCCCTTTAATAGACTTTATGTCCCAAAGATCTAGTTCTAAATCTCCTGTTGCTGTTAGTTGGCATGCTACCTTTTCAGCTCTTACAGTTCTCAGTCTTTTCTTGGTTTGCATGAACTCGGCACTTAGCAAGAATACAAGGTGGAAAGTCTTCCCCATGTGATTTTCCGACATCTGGACTAGAAAGACCAGCATCTGCCTCCCTCCTTTTGTAGCCACCCAGAGCTAGGATGGGGTGGTCAAGAGGAACTTGGGAAGGTGACTGGTCAAAACTCTGTCCCTAGCAGAGGGAAGGGACTTTTCTTTTCCTTTTAAATATTTATCTGTTTGTTTAATGTACACAGGTATTTTTGCTTGCATATATGTCTATATGTCTATGTGAGGGTGTCAGATCCCCTGCAACGGAAATTACATACAGTTGTGAGCTGCCATGTGGGTGCTGGAAATTGAACCTGGGTCCTCTGGAAGAGCAGCTAGTGCTCCTAACTGATGAGCCATTTCTCAGCCATATTATGCCATTTCTCAGCCATATGAATGCCTCTGATCTTTGAAGCTAAGCAGGGTTGTGCCTAGTTAGTACTTGGGTGGGAGACTTAGCTTTCCTATTTTTGTCTTCCTTCTTCCTTCTCTCCTCCCTTCCCCCTTCCTCTTTTTCCTGTGATTGAGGAGCATAGGGTACAGAGAGGTACTCTTGGATAATCTTAAGCCTAACAACTGGGGTTCAATCCCCCATGGTAGAAGGAGAGAACCAACTTCCATGGGTTGTCCTCTAACCTCCACATGCAAACACGCAGAGAAGAAGAGAGAGAGAGATCAATGACTACTATATAAGCATTTTTAAAAGAACAAATGAATGGTGAAATGAAAGATGCTTTTAAATAAATGCATAGACAATATCTTGTATTGGGATTAGTAGCGTATGATGTCAAAGCAGTCTGTCTTGCCCTGTCAGTCTGATAGGAAGTGCCATAATTAGATTAAACAGCAGTGCTGGCTGGGAGTTCCACTGTCTTCAGCAGCCCCCACTCCCTTGTCCAGAGGGGCAGATGCTGTTCTTTATGAACTACATTCATCATAGAAGGAAATGCTAAATTTCAGGTGGAAGGTAGTAATGATGGCTAAGAACTCCTGATCCAAGCTGAAAAGATAGCTGATTAGTTAAGAGCACTTGCTGCTTTTCCAGAGGACTCAGGTTCCATTCACAGCACCCACATGGGAGCTCATAACCCTCAGTAACTCCATGTCTTATTTGGGGTTTCTATTGCTGTGTAGAGACACCATGGCTTTTAAAGGAAAACATTTAATTGGTGCTGGCTTACAGGTTCAGAGGTTTAGTTCATTATTGTCATGGTGGGAAGCATGGTGGCACCCAGGCAGACATGGTGCTGGAGAGGTAGCCAAGAGCTCTCCATCTGGATCCGCTGGTAGCAGCAAGAGAGAGGGGCCTGGCTTAAGCACTTGAAGCCTCAAAGCCCATCCCAGTGACACACTTCCTCCAGCAAGGCCACACCTACTCCAACAAGGCCACACCTCCTAATACTGCCACTCCCTACGGACCTATGGGGTCATTTTCATTCAAACCACCACACTCCAGTCCCAGGGATCTGACACCCTCCTCTGGCCTCTCTAGGCATACGACATATGTGGTACACAGGCATACATGCAGGCAAAACAGCCATATACATAACATAAAAAACACAAACGAAGAACTCCTGCCCCCTGCAAGCTACATATCTCTAGGAGCAAGCATGTGACATAACACAAGGATAGGAAATACTTGTGAAATCAGTTGATTCTGCCTAGACTCAGCGGCTTGGGAGCAGGAAGTATACAGAGATACAGAGAGGCATTTTGCTTTTGGTTTGATTTCTGGTCTTAAAAAGTTACTTGTGTGTGTTGGGGGCGGTTATAGGAAGTACATGCTACGTGTGCGTGTGGGGTAAGAAGAAAGCTTGCAGGGGCCAGCTCTTTCCTTCTGCCTTTCCTTTGATTTTGGGAATCCATCTCAGGTCATTAGGTTTGTGTAGCAGACGTCTTTGCCCACTGAGCCACATCACCGGTGCACTTCTTGATACTTTTGACGGCCTGTTTAAGAACTGGAATGTGTTTTGTCTTGCAGGTAGCAGTTCTCTAAGTGCTGAGCAAAAAGGCTCCTGGGACTCCGAGACCTGGCTTGATCCTTCTGTGAAAGGACAGTTGGAGACCTGCGAAGAGGATGATGGGCTTCGGAAATCCCTGGACAGATTCTATGAAGCGTTTGTCCATCCGCTGACAGGCACTGAGGATCAGCTCTCTGCACCTGTGTGCCAGTGCCTGTCTCAGACGATCTCTGAGCTCCAGGGCCAGGAGAGCAAAAAGTATTCTCTCCGAAGTTTCCAGATGGCCCGGGTCATCTTCAACAGGGACGGCTGCTCTGTCTTACAGCGGCATTCCAGGGAAACCCGCTTCTACCCTCTGGAGCGAGGAGGCAGCTCTGTGGATGATGAGGAGCCCACCCCAGGACTGTCCAGGGAGATCATTCATTTCCTCCTGGAGACTGCACTGAAAGACTCCTAGGTGGGGCTAGTGTGAAAGCAGGCACTGCCTGGCCCTCAGAGTCCCTGGGTGGGTGGGGCTCCTCCCGGCAGCTTTCTGTTTCCAGCCATTAGCTACAAGCTTTGCAGGTAGAGGCTGCACCAGACCTGGTGGCCTGTCCGTGTGCCATCCCACCGCTCACCTTAGTCAAGGCTGCTACTGACTTACCTAGGGTTGAATCCCAGCCCAGCTTCTTCAGAGTGCTCTCCTGGGACACGGCCAGGGCTGGGACTTTGGCAGGAAATCACTTCCCTGCTTGGCTTCATCCCTCCTCCTGCTCACCCACTGATGTCTCTGCGACCTTTTCTTAATAAACCTCTTCTATCTGCAACCTTGCCTCAGTCTACTCCTGGGAGAACAAGCCTCAGAGGACAAGCTTCTGGGAGATGAGTGTTTTGAGGATATACATTTCCGTGCTGAATCAAGGGTAACAATTACACAGAATTGTAAGTGAGGACCAACAGACTGGCCTAGAGCATTGTAAAGATTTGACTATGCTTCCAAAACAGTATGTCACATCTTAATCATACTGGTGGCTCCTCTCCAAAGCCAGAATTCCCTGTTTTATACTGACAGTGGGGAGGGAACACTTGGACCATCTACAAAGCTGTAATTCACACACAAAGGGGCTTCTCAGTCTACACTAGAGTGTGGTGTGGAAGGTGAGGAGACGGCCTGAGCCCTCCTCTCCAGCTCCCACACAGTCTGTGTGACCTTCTTCCCTTCTGTTTGGAGGGAATAAGTAGTCACACGGGCAGCTTTTCCCTCTGCTTGTGACTCTTGCCCTCTGTCCACTGCCAGCACTTCAATCATCCTCTGAAGGGTCGCCCCTCATCCCTGCCCTGATCTTGCCTCCGGCACCCTGAGCTCCAGCACAAATGCTGGCCTGGAGCGGGGCTTTGCTGTCACCTGTGCCTGTTCTCCAGGCAGGTGCTTAGCCTGACAGGGAGCTCTCTAAATAGCTAGTTCAGGCTGGTACTAGCAGATGCTCTCCTCTGCGGGTTGTGTCCTGAGCCCCAGTTTGAGGATTACGTCAGCTCACACCAGGAACTTGAAACAGTAATTGGAAACCTCATAGAGTTCTTCAAGCACATTACATCAGGAGAAAGGCTTACTTCCCTCGTTTGCAAGAATGGCAAAAACTGTCAACACTGTGCAGTTAGATTTTGAGAATCTTGGGGTGAAGTTTAATTGGCATAAGACTGCAAAGCTTTTCAGAAAGTGGATTATGCAAATGCAGCAGCCAACTAAAAGTCAGGGCACCGGTGAGTCTCCTGGGGACTCTGGAATGGAAAGAAGCCTAAGGAGAAGCAGGGATGTGTCAGACTTCCAGCTCAGGGAAGGTCACAGGCAAGAGACTCACGAAGAGAGGGCGAGGAACCTGTGGAAGCGGGCCCACGTGGCAGGAAATCAAAAACGAGTAGGACCTGGAGAGACTCACAAACGTGGCTCCAGCTTTCCCTCTCACAAGCAGGAATTTACCGCTCTCTCCCTCCAATATCACACAACTGATGAAGTGTCAGACCCAAACCAGGAGGCTAAGGTAAAGGCTGCTGCTTTGATTGTTCTAGCTTGAAGCCTACCAGTAGACACCCCTGAAGAGTCATTCATCCACAGAACACTCACAGTTCATCTCCACGGCTACCACCACGGGGAATCTGGGTTACTCTGTGCCTGATTTTAAAAGACAACAACAAAACTATTCGAATGTTCACGTTGGGAAGTAGCGGGTTCTATTCTGAAGGGAGATTTTAGTATCAAAGATTGTCTAAGCCTCCCTGATATCAGTACCGAAGGTGTTCGGCAAGAGGGAGCCTCCTGAGGCTGTTGAGAGTGTGGGAGAGTGAGAGTGAGAGCCGGGGTTGCCTCGCTAGCATGGCATGCCTCACTTACATCTGAGGAAGTGTTTGTGACAGGCCAGGACAAGATATTTGATTCTCTGCGAGCCTGCCCCTTAATTTGATCTCCGTGACGATAGGGCGGCATTTTCCATTTATCTCTGTGAACCTTTAATAAAGACTGAGAGATAAGGATACTGCAGCCCAGGCCTTTGGCAGTGTTGCCTGTTTCAGCACTGAGGGTAAGTTAATGACGTCTTATCACCTCATGTCATTGGGAGGGGACATACGATATCATCTGTGTTTCCTGATCTACAGAGCCTTTGTGAGGGTCGCTTTGTTCCAGAAACATCAAATCCCGGAGACGAGAACTGCTGGCAGAACCGGAGGCTCATGTCCTGCGCTCGGGTCTTTTGTCTGTCCCCCAGATGGCTCATGCTCGGGACTGGGCCGGGGACCTTGCCCTTGCTCCGCCTGAACTCCTCTCCTGAATTACACCCAGGCCTGTAGGATTTCTCTTAAGGTACATGTGACTGATCTTATTATCAACAATTTCAAAACAGTACAAAAACATCAATTATTTTCAAACTTGTAAAGGTTTTTTTGAATTTTATGTTGGACCATGGCTGCACATAAACGTCCTTGCATCCTGTAGGTGACTGTCTCAGCGATTCTCACAGACTAGCCCGTCTGCGCAAACAGCGTTGGCCTCGAGCTGCAGGAGCCACTGACAGCCCGGTGGTGCACTGAGTGGAGGGTTCCATCTGTACTGCTGACCAGAGCAGTTGGCCCTGGCCAGCATCCTGAGGTGCTGCTAGCACCCACACTGGACAAACACATGGACAGTGTTTCTTTCATGCTAATCTGTTCCTCTCAGTATGCTAGGAAAACACATCTAACTCATGCTTTCACAAGGCTATGTAGTGCTAGCTTAGTATAAGTACTTAAAATGTAAAAGGCTGATTTAATAAAAAAGTAATAATAGAGTAAGTGACGCCATATGCGCTGAAAGTTAGAAGTACGGTGGGGCCCCAGCACTGCTGAAGCTCAAGATACAGTAGACTATTCTAGGAGAGAGGCTGTGGACTGCTGCAGGGTGGGCTGGGCAGCGCAGAATACATCCGTGTCAAGCTGCCTTTGCCTCTCCTTGCCACAGTGAAAAGCATAGATGAATGGCCAGATACTATAAAAGACTAGCCTTATCAAATGGGGAGACGTTTTTTTGTCTTGCAATTCCAATGTAAAAATAGATACGTCAGAGGGAAAGGCTGAGCTCATAAATACCTATAAGCAGATACAGAAATCGAGCACGTGATGAAGGTGGCACTTCAAATTAGGCACGGCTGGGGATGTAGTTTGGTGTGAGTCACTTACCCAGCATGCACATGGTCCTGACTTGAAAACCAACACAGAAAGAAAAAAAAAATTAGAGGCTAAGGCAGCTGTCAGCAACCGCTTTGGAATGATGGACTCTTTACTTTGGGAGAAGGAGAGTCAAAATAAAAGGCTGTGTTCCCCATCTCATATCTTATATTAAAATGTATTCTAGATGGGTTTCAGGATAAAAATTTAAATCATAAAAACGTGTGTGTGTGAAAGAGAGAGCGAATACGAACACATATGGCGAGAGAGGGATGTCTTAGAATGGAGACGTCTTTCTAAGAATTCCTTAACAAAATAAAACTCTAAAAATTGAAAAGGAATGTTCATGAACTTGTCTAAAAAACATGCGTCTCCTGGCTTGGCAAGAATGGCTCAACAGGTACTTGCTACCAAGTGTGGTGGTCCACCTGAGTTTGATCCCCGTGACCCACAGCAGGAAGACAGAACCAACTCCACCAAGTCTCAGACCTATGAAGCTGAACTGTGCATATGCGTGGACACACAGACAGACAGACAGAGAGAACCATTTAAAAAACCCAAAACTTCAGCTGGTGTCAACCTTCGCCAACCTGTGCAGATCATGTCTGCTGGGCCCGGGATCTGAGGAGCTGAAAGAATGCGCAGGCCGCACTGCAGTGCTGTTGACAACCTTACTTCAGTTTTAGTGTGCTTTTGCCCGTGAATGTAACAAAGAAGTCAGTGATCCAAAGACGAGTGTCTGAGTTCAGAAAAGCAGGAGCAGAAAAACATGTAAAGAAATGTCAGGAAGTACCTACTAAATATGGACAGAGTCTCCCAGAACTTTCTCAGGACAGACCAAGGTAAGCACAATTACCTGGCAAGATATAATGCTGTGGGTTATATCTTGGAAAACATGAAAGCAGAACAGAGGGTTCAGGGTCCACTGAGGACAGCACACAGCCTGTCCCTTCACCGGATTATTGCTATGCTCTGACATCTGTGGGGCTTTGCTGCATTAGAGTGAAGTCTCTGGAGAGCCATTTATTTGTGCTCAGTCTATTGGTGAACTCATTTTTCTCGGCAAAACCCTAAAAATCGCCCTTCTCCCCAAAATCTGGGTGACCCCAGGTCTTGTAAGGAGCATCACAAAGCCCTCAGAGCAGATTACAGGCTCTTTCCTGATAAGGAAACCAGTTCAGCTATATATTCCTAGAAATGCTCACCCTGCTAAGGAGCAGTTAGTCTTAAGCAGTGACCTTCAACTGTACTTGGAGATTTCCCCCTCACCCTTAGGATAATTAAGTACTGTATTTTCCTTCTTGTGATTGGACCATGCTGCTGCATGGAAAATGAGGCGCTGTACCATTACATGTCAATCAAGTTTCCCTGACCTGCTAACCCCACAAATCAAACACGTTCACCCTCGAAATTCCTCCCACTATTCAAGGTTTATAAATCCCGATTTCAAATAAGCATACTGGGGGTTGCATGCATGCTTCTGACTGACTGTGTGACACCATCAGCCTTCCACCATGACCACCTTAGAGTCATCCCTTCTCCCCCAACTGGGGCCTGCTCTCACTAGGCCTGCTCTGTGCTCTCTCTGGACCTCACCAGGCCTGTGTCTCAGCTGCCAGGCATGGGCTTCTGCCCGCATCTCTGCCATGTTCAGCACAGCAGCTTGACCAGGAGCTGTAACACTTTGGTATCGCCATAGGCTTACAAAAAAGAAAAAGTAGACAGGAGCTAGTTGGGAAGAGGACAGGATCCATGGAAGAGGGACATGACTGAAATGTTACGTATATGTATGAAAATGTCACAATGAAACTTGTTGTCTTAAATAACTAATATATGCTACTAAAACATTTCTTAAAAGCATGGTGGAGAGGCCAAACATCCAGCAGAGGGAACGGTGTGTGCAGAGTCAGTGTGAAACCACCCTGGAATGAGCTTGAAGCATCCGGACGAAGTCCTGTGTGGCCCTAGGACAGTCCCCAAAGGACAGAGTGTAGATGAATTTCAGAAGCGAGCCTTGCAGTTCAAGCAACAGGAAACGACTTGAGGTGTTAACAAGAGAGTAATGGGATAAGCTACAATACCTTTGGCAACTAAAATATATTAAAGATCTAGCATTCCGATGTCCTGGTTGAGAATGAGCTATCTAGGAGCTGGAGAGATGGCTCGTTGATTGAGAACACGGGTTGCTTTTGCAGAGTGGGTTAGATTCCCAAAGTGTGCATCACAACTGCTAGCACCTGCAGTTCCAGGGGCTCTGATACCATTTTCTGACCTCCACAAGCACCAGGCATACATGAGGTGTATATATACATGGAGACAAACACTGGTACACATAAGATACAATAAATAAATCTAGAAAAAATAAGAATAAATTATTTAAATATCTAAT